CAGCTTCCAGGTGTGAATGTGTGTCCTGTATGAGTGTGGTCAGGGCATTCCTGCAAATGAGAGCTGGGCTCTGAGTGAAGCTTTCCTCAATAAATAAAGGTTTAAAAATGTTCTATTCAGGAGTCCCAGGAAGCCACACCAGTGAGCCAGAATCAGGGTTCCCACTCTTTTAAGGAAATCCTTTTCCAGGAGTTTTTCTTCACAATGCAGGACAGCACTTGCTTACAATGGTGGTCAGTGTTTATGGAACAGACTTTGGCTTGGCTGTTCTCAGCACAGCAGATTTGGCACTGCAGCCACAGCAGAGCATAAATAACAGTTCAAATCAAGCAGAATTTATTTTATTTCACAGATAATTAGCCTATTAAAAGAAAAGGTAGGAGGTATATATTATCCTCCACAACAAGAAATGTAAATTTGATCATTAAATATAGGCTGTATGCATGCATATATGACCATCTCCACAGCATTTCCAGAACAGACTTGACGCCCAAAGCGTGTTGCAAGCGGTGTGAACAGCTGACATGGGAGCTGAAATGAAATGTTCCCCTTTGCATCTGGTAAACCCGCTTTGAAGTGTCATACCACGCAGCTTATCCTAGCAACAGTCAAGTTTCAATAAAGTATTTAATTTCCAGGATATTTGGTCATTTTAATCAATTCCATGACTGGAAAACTAGTCTCTAAATTTGTTTTTCAGATTCTCCAGGACGCATGGGAACCTTTCAGAACGCACAATACCAATGATATGGCACAACTCAAACTAAAAGGAATGTGGCCTTTGTAAATGTTATTAATAACCCCTGCGACAGGAGAAAATATCCACTGAGAGAAAAGCACTGCGACACTGTGGGCTTCTTTTATCCTTTAAACCAGCCAAATTTCATTGTCAGACTGTTGGTACAACATGCAAGTTGCAACATTCAGCTAGCTAGTGCGAACAAACTGGCAAGTAAGGTGACATATGGCTAAAACAGTGATACATCATCAAAACACTTAATAAATAGCTGTTGCAGAGTCACTTTTCAAACTCAGACTCAGGTAGCGATTTAGCTCTGCAAGGTCTTATCTGACACTTCAGACCACAAAAACAGAGAAGGAAATAGTGACAATAGCAGACTATGTGGCCCACAGCGGAAGACTGTATGAGAAGTTCCAATTATGACGTGTACATTATGTGTGTACATTCACCAGGAGGAAAAATGTGTCCTGAGATGTGAAAATGCTGAAAAACTTTCAAACGGACTCCACTCACCTGCTCCACCTGCTCCTATGACTGTTGTGCCGTTTCCAAAAGCATCCTGAACGAAACCTTTCACTTTCCCAGCATGGGAACGTGACACAATCACCTTCGGAGGGTTGACACTGTAGGATGACCGGGCATGCATATTGGACCTGTGACCTACAAGAGCCCACGCTGGGGGAGGGACAAAACGAGGATAGAAGTTCAATACATATTATGTTGTCATCCAACATCTCATATATTATAGCTCTAGAAAGCACATGTTACAATTTCTTTCCCCAAATGGCACTGAGGCAGGATTTGTGACTCATTATGCTAAAATAAGGGGGCAAGAGAGACATAGACCCTATGGCTTCAACAAAGTTTTCTAGAAAATGCAGAAGTCATAGACAAAGTTATGTCAACGAAAACATTAGATTATTATTCAAAAAGGCTATTTTGGAAGCCTCAATCACAGTCTAACAATGTGAGATTTAAAATGTGAAGGCGCCCAGTTTACACTTACCAGTGAACCCAGTGAAGGGCTGGTGTATCACCCCAATGACCGGTTTACCATCTACAGCCACACATACCATTGTGGTCACATACTTCACCAGATTCTCTATGGAGGGAGCAAAACAGAGGGAGGGCAGAGTTCAGAAGAGAGATGGAATAAGACAGCAGAGACAAGCCAGAGGGTACAGAGAGAGGGAGGGGTTACAGGATATGGGAGGGGACAGGGAAAATGAATCAGACCAGTGGAGAGAGTGTCAAGTGTCAGCATGTCTGTAACGTGTGGAAATCCTGATCTGTCCATACTCGTGTCCTAAAAAAGCTGAATGTTTAAAATATAATATAATAGATATTATAATATATAATATAATATATAAAACATAATATATAATAATTACATAGTTGTACAGGCTACCATAGACAGGGTTCATAACGTTCAAGCACTTCCAAGGGACCTAAACCAAAAAGTAGACTCTGTAAGCCTTATCATCAAATCTAACTTGTTAGTATAAATGCAATTGTATTAACTTGGATTGTAGGTTTTGATGATGATTATTTAATGCTTTCTACTTTCCAGAGTAACAGCTCAACAGAGGACATATCTAGCTTTGAATGTGAGTAAACATGCCAGGAAACAACAAACAAATAGTTTACATGAGTGTTTATGTAGATGAAACACCAGATTATGTTGAAAATCGAGCATTTTTCAAGGAGTATATTCAAATTCAAGCTTATTCCTGACCTTGAAATCATTGAAAGCATTTTCAACACTTTGTACGAACCCTGCATAGACCATCTGTGATCTAATTATCTGGAACCACGGGAGGTCAGATATAAACGAGGTGATCAGTCTGTTATCACCAACAACACTAATCAATATGCATGTGCTGTGTTCATCCTACCATTTGAACTAGTTATTTAACAAGAGTAAAAAACAAAAACAGGTTTGGTCAGAGGACCTAGGGATGAGAAAAGGCCTAACGTGTGTGCTGTAATAGCCCAAACGTTAAAAAATAAAGGACTTTTAACTTTCAGCTCATCTAGTGTAACCACTAATATAGTGAAGCGTTAATTTGACCTGCGTCCACTCCACCCTAGTATTTCCAGGTCATTTTTGTGAAGCCCGCCTAACAAACACCTGAACAACAGAGAGACTGCTAACATATCTTCTGACAAAAGTGCACATTTTGGCCAACATCTGCTAGGAAACGGGACACAGCCCTGCTGTTCAGAACATTCTTTTATGATCTCGACATCGTCCGACAAATCTACATCAATACAGATGAATGACAACAGCTGTGTGACAGACCACATCCAGACGAGAGAAAGTTATCTTAACTTTACTGCCACCTGGCCGACTGTGGCTGGGCAGCTACAGACACAGCTGGTTACATTGACAGCCGGTTCAACCTCCCAGCAGCCTCTTTTTTCAGTTCATTCTTACTTCCTCTTTATGCTGTCAGACTACAGAACAAGTACAAAATAGTAATTTAATGAAGACTTGTAAATACTGCATGTTAACCAGCATGCTGCTGCACAGCGGTGATAAAAATCAATACTTTATGATTGCGAGTCTGTCTGACATTATTTACATAAATCCATGTTTAATGACAACAGCTCTGTTGTGCATTCAGCTGTATTGACATTTGAAATGAGTGATCACAGAGAGGGTGGCGGAGGAGAAGGCGACAGAAAGCCCTTCTTAACTTTGCTCACAACCCTCATTTAGCAGCTTATATCATCATTTTGCACCCCATTTGTTTACCCCATACACACTGAAACGCTGAGCCGGTGTTTTTATACATAATAATGATAAACACTATCATATAGCTTATACAGTCAGACAAGAAAAGTTCCGTTTGCCAGAAAAACGCGATGGAGGGCTGAAAAGGAAAGACAAATATGTGTTTACAAACTGAACTGGCTGAATGTGGACATACTGTCAGTGGCTCACAGAGTAAACAGGAGCTGTACTGGGCTGCTCCCGGCTGTATGAGATTAACTGGATCAGTGTTGAGAGGGAGTTGCTGCAAAGGACCATGGACGTTCGGCCAACTTTCCATAGATAATGGTAGAACAAACACACACAAACATACCTTGGACAAACAAGTGTGGCCACCAAAACCTCATATCCATTCACGCTTCTTTTAAACTGAGCTCGACATTTTACTTTTTTTATTTTAAATCGAAGCCCAACGAGGTACCTCCCTGACAGGTGGACATACTGTTTTCCCAGATGTCATCTAAAATGACTTAACTTCAGCAACATGCACACCTGTATATTCCTGTGTAGCGTCTAGAGGGTCGATCCACACAGTGATGCTCTCAGCAGGAACGTCATTGCCCCCCTTTACATTTTTCAGTATGTCAGCTGGAATTTCCCGGCTCCAGGTTGCGTGGTCCACAACGTTGTCATGTTCCTCGCTGTTCACCTGAAAGCAAACACACGCAGACAGAAGTATGGGTCCTCTGCCTTAGAACGTATTCAGACTACATGGGGCATGTTGATTTGTGCTTTAGAACTTCACCGCTGTGAAACAATCAGAAAATAGCATTTCCTTTCTCTGATTCACTGGCTCTCTCGCTACCAGCGCTCCCTCTCCTCATTCAACCTCTATGTCGAGAACACAACTAGGAGAGTATTATAGTTTGGTCCATGAACCAGCGCCTGTTTCAGAGAAATTTCAGGCTGACTGTGGAGCAGTTTGACAGGTTTTACTGCCGGATTGGCCACCGCAGGGTAACATCGGATTCCGTTTCTCCAAAAGCTGATTCTGTTTCAACGTCTATGGCACAGGTACAATGCACTACCCCCATTCAAAATGAGAAGGAGGACTGATCTAAATCGGCCCTTAGGCTTATTTTAAACTTTAAACAGTATGTGAAGGCATCTCACAGAAAAGCTTTCCTGTCTTTGCAGTCCGACTCAGATCTAACTGAATCAAATACAGGACTGATGAGACCACTGCAGCTTTCGGTCACATCCAACATCAGATTAAAGCCTCGGTTCTGGGGTTTCTAGCTTTGTTGCTAGTTCATGATAGTTTCTAATTTGTGATTTAACCGTCTTAGATTAGTAAAAATGGTCACAATTGAGTTTCTTCATCCTTCATCAGCTAAATAGGTGCTGGTATTGTCTAACATCACTAAAGTTTCCGCAGTAAACAATTAATGAGTGGCACAAACAGCAAGAACGCAGTACAATGGTTACAGTGGCTGTGCTCACCGTGACTTCAGGGAAGGTATTCTTTAAGAGGTTAAACATCTTTCTATGAGACTGCAGGTCCCCCATAGTCAGAGGCTCATTGGCTCCTTCCTTTGTCTTGCCCTTTGACTTCTCCTTCAGGCTGTTGTCATCACGCACTGTCTTCACCTGGGGAGGAAAAACAAAAACGGATAGTTTACCAGATGTCCTCAACCTGTGGTTTCTTTAGAGACTGTAGTCAAACTAACACTGTCACTACAATGTCAGGTTGCATTGAAGGCTTAGCAAGCATGGCATAGGGAAACTTCACCTTTAGTGGACTCAACAACACACAACAAGTGGTTATTCAGGACTCAAATTCACCCTTCACTAAAGCCAGGCCACAGTTTATCCAATAGCTAAAGATTTAAATTAAAGTAAGTAAATGTTTTAGGTAAAAGTAAACCAACTCTTTCTTAAGCAGAAAGCAGGTCCAAAAAAATATGTTTACATTGAGTCCAGTTTATCCTCAGGACATAAAAACAAAACAAGAGCATGGCTAGTAAGTGTCAAAATTTGAGTTTTGTGATTTGGGCGAACTGACCTATAATCATCCAATAACAAACTGATAAAACATGTGTGATACAGCAAACTCATTCTAAATCTGCTCTGGACAATAATTCTAAGTATTGTAATCATGACTCTGGTCCTACAGGTGAAAATATACTACTACTCCAAAATAATGTCTGTGGCTCTGCTGAAGGTGACATGAAGCAGGCAATGAATACACACACATGACTTGTATTTTCTTTTTGTATTTTCTTCTTTCTTTCTATTTCTGTAACCATGAAAATCACTTTTTCAGTGTAGTCTGTCGTCCTTTAATTCAGTACCTCCAATTCAAAACCCTGATCAAACAAGTAAAAACAAAACAAGCCAGCAAGCTATTGGAAGCTATTAATATTGAATTGTTTGATAATGGCTCTTGGGTATGAAAGTTTGTTTGTTGAGGTGTGACAAAACTGTGTTTTTACCTCTCTGCCACCTAGTTCTGCAGCCTCCACTGAGACAGCCAGCAGGTCCCTTAGATCCACAGTTCTCCTCTGTCTGCAGAGGGGAAGGGACAGAACAACAAAGGGTTAAACAGCACTGAATGAAGAAAAAGCATCCCACCAAACCTGCTGAAACCGTATCAGCCTTATCAGCTGCTGGGAGGTGAAAGAGAAAGCGAGTTTTGGACACTGAATGCCCCTGGTACTTCTGAAATGAAGCTGCTATTTTGTGCTCATACTTATTATCTTAAAATCACACCACTGTTATGGCAGACAATTAGAAAGATTCAGTGTTTCCCCACAGAACACTGAAAGCCAGGTAATGATTCAGGTCAGCAGTAGGGCTGGGTATTGTTTTCATAAAACACCTATTTCTTAATTTCAGAAAAGAAGCCAAACTTCTGAACTGTAGCTGTACAACACCTTTGCCTCAATACAAGTGGTTAAATTTAGATTTAAAACAGGCAAAAAATATCAGATCTCTACCTAAGTACTGACGATCATACTCTGGCTGAGTAAGCAGCTATGTGACCCACAACAAACGTTCAATAAGCGATACAAACCTCAACCTCAATGACAGATCTATATTAAAGGGTCAACCTGATGTACATGCAATGTTAATAGATATTACGATAGCACAATTTTCCTTTTCATTGAAAAATACTAAATACAAAAATCTACTGTCTGTATTGGGAAGAATTTGGTGATACAATATGCATCACGATACGGGGTTATGATTCAATATATTGTGATATATTGCAGTACTATGAGGCGCACTGGTAGCTCACCTGGTAGAAAGATTCCAACTTGTGGTCATTTTCTGCATATTGTCCTCTCTCTCTGTTCCCCCTTTCCTCTCTATCAAGCTGTCACAGTCAAAAAAAGGCATAAAAAGCCTGAAAGATTACTTCTCCATGCAGCCAGAACAGTGGATCTGCATTTTACAACCCTGCTATATAGTGGTTGGGGGTTTAAACACAAATGTTGATAGTGTTTTTGAGAATCATACAATAGCACATAACACTCTACTCAAATCATTGTGATGTGACATGGCATTTGTTCGTCTGGAGAACAAGATGTGTAAGGCAGGGTATCTCTGAGGCACTACAGTACTTCTTTATAATGCTGATTGACACATTTTACCTGGGATTTACATATTGCACTTGGCCCTATTGCGATTTAGATAATATTGCGATTAATTGTGCAATCATATACTGAATGTGACAAATCAATATATTGTTATACATATGGAACACACACACACACACACACACACACTATTTACTAGCATATTCTTGTTGTATTTATAAAATGTATCATATTGCTATTAAAGAACAGTATTTTTTATATACTCCATTCTTATTGGACTGTTTTCTTAATTAACTAGTCCTTCTTGTTTTCAAATGATTAATACTTCGGCCATAATTGTTCCTAACATTCGTGCCATTAAAGCATATTAGAGTGGAACAGCAGCTCCAGTGAGAGGTAACGTTAATGTATATCATGTGTGGTAATGGGAGAACAGTCTGACCTGAAGGCAGCCAGGCGGCTGGAGATGACTCCCGCATACAGGTGGTAGATGACACCGACTCCAAGGAGGCAGAACACCGCCACACCGAGCGGTGACAGTCGGATACCCATGGGAGCCATTGTCGCAGAATAATAAATACCCTGTACGTTTTTGTTGAATAACAAGACCACAGGCGTAAACCAAGAGCCCAGACCTGCTCAGTGTAACAGACTGGAGCGATAAGAGCTAGCTGACGTGGCTGTCCCCGCCGCCGGAGGGTCCGGATAAAGCGGCTAACTGGCTGCTGCACACCTGGCGTTTACTCTCCGGATAAACAGGTCGACTGTCACCGAGCGAACAGCTGAACGGCGGACAACCTGAAGCTGTCACAGAAAACAACACGCTGGTTAATTTCGATTAGTTGGAGAGCCACCGTCTGACGTCTGCGTGACGAAATTCACCGACTCATTTGTGTTAGTAACGACATTCCGTTAGCCGGACAGCCTGACTGCGGTCCTTATCCTCGCTGTTAACTCGCCGAAGCAAGCCAAGTGTTCACTGGTATCGACGGCAAAACGGAACAATCACATCTCTGTTCAGTCATTTTCCTCCCAAACGTTACGTACACAGCAGAGGTCACAGGCTGGCACTTCTCTTCCGGGTTATCGCTGATGTCGTCATCCGTTTGGGGTTCTTTTCGATTCATTTTTATAGCCGCAATTTCTAAAAATAATAATTTATAATTATTATATTATTATTAATTTATAGAAGACCAACAGTGGTTTTTAAAAAGGGATACAAATAAAAGTATCATCTTTACGTTTAATTATATACAGTTGTAGAAAATAAAGGTCCCGTATTATAATATGTATAGGTACATTAGTGTATAATCACCTGAATGTAGTAATTGTTGTGTTGTCCTTACCGTAGAATGAGCTGTTTTTATCTACAGATGTTGCAGGTGGCCTTCCATGGAGTCTGCCATGTTTTCTACAGTAGCCCAGTACGGACAACCCAGACACTTGCTGTAGATAGGGACTATTTTGTTTTTCTTGAGTTTGCAGCCACTTAACAGCCTGTTCTCACTCCCAGGTCATCAAATACAGACAGGAGTGATGTTCAGTTAGTTGAAATCTGCAACACCGCCACTAGATGGCACTAAATCCTACACACAGGTCCTTTAGATACGTGTTTGTGATTTTAGATTAGCTAATACATTTTCCACTTCATATAACAGAGAATCAGTAGAGTTAAGTGTCAAAATGTGTAAAAATTAAGAAATATTTTCTCTAAAATAATACGTGTGTTTTGTTTCAGAGAAAAAAAAATTGAATTACACAATATATAAAACATTTTGTGGGTTTTGTTTAACAAACAGTTGCTTATTTACACATCCAACAGTTACAGAGCAACATTATCATTCTTTTGGAATCATGTTTTTTAACATTTGATAAATGTGAGTCCACTATTGACTCTCTTTTAGCTCTGTTTTTGGTCTCTACCAACTCCTGAGGGAAATATCTGTTTCTTTAGCTGCTAAATGCTCCACTGTCCCCTATTTGTTTGCATTACAGTGATCAATTATTGTGTTCATTAATAATTGCCTAATAGCTTAATTTGTTTCAAATAATCAGTGTTTTGTTTATAGATAAGTATAGCCTATATTTTATGCAGGCTCTTGTGCATCCCATCAGCAGGGTGTTTATGCTTTCTTTTCAGAGGTGAAGTACAATGCAATACATAATCCACCTCTGTTAAAGGACCAGTAGGATTCCGAAGCATCTATAGGTGAAGTAGCTGATTACAACTCCCTTGCTTCACCCTCCTCTTTGAAGCATGTAGAAGAAATATAGAGCCAGTTTGTTCGTTCTGGGCTATTGCAGAAAGATGGAAGATTCCATGGAAAGCAACCCGCTCCCTCTGTAGATAAAAATGGCTATTCAAGGTAACGAAAACACAACTATTACTATATTCAGGTGATCATGAAAATACCTATGAATATTATATTCTATTTCTGCCAACAGATCCTCCTAAATGTTACACACTGGACCTCCAACAGGCCTTCTTCTATTATGTTCATGATGAATGCATATACAATGAACAAAGAAAATATTTTACTTTGTCACCAATCTGTATCTGCATGACCACTACAGATAGGTAAGTCAATGTATTTTCCACTTTTTTGGGTAAACCTCCCCTTCAAAAATATACTAGTGTTTGTATTTATAAAAATCACAAACCACGTTCACAAACACCTTGGACATCCAGAACAATACAGCTCCCACTGGTTGTATTTGTGACACTACCCTCCCAGTATGCCTAAACTTGTTTTGCGTCCCAACAAATTACAGGTTTGAAGTGTTTCTCCAGAGTTTTATTCTTCTCAACTGAACACACTGTGAAACAACATTTGGATCGTTATGTGACACACACCAATACAAAATAAACAGCTCTATAATCATATAATAATACATTCATTTTAAACTGAGGAAATTATTAATCATTTATAGAAAAATGTCTGTTATTAAAGAAGCATGATATGATGCATTGGTCTGGGAGGAACCACCATCATAACACCGGTTCAGTATCTATAAACCTGAAGTGTTGTTTGCCAGCAGTGACACTTGGTAATAAGCTTTTCTTCTTTGTAAAACCAGTAAGTGTTTCAAAATGTCCATACTGTAGGCTGTTTCCATGTTCCCTTTCTCAGTAAAAGTACTGAGATGCAGCCACAACATCGCCTCCTCCTCATTTTCTCTCCTCCTCCTCACATCTCCCAGCCAGCTGGCAGACATCTTCATAGGCTACTACACCGCCCGCTGGCTGTCTGCTCATCTCTCTCCTCGTCCTCACGCTCCGTCCTCTGTGTAGCTTACAGAGGTCTCTGAAGACATCACTCCTTTTTCTGATATCTCTCTTTACCTCCTCACTTCTCTTCTCCCCGCTCTGTTGGCCATTTGACAGAGATGTGGTAAGACTTCAGCTCCTCCTCAGATACAAAGTCAGGGGCGCAGCTCATGAGGTCGTGACCCCGGAATGACTTGGGGAAGGCAATGACGTCACGGATGCTGGGAGCCCCGACCATGATGGAGACCAGCCGGTCAAACCCTAGCAAAGCATAAGTTTAGAGTAATTAGACAACCTAATACATTTATAACCATTTTCACCTTTTGGCTCATGAACTGTGCATTTTAAGTAGCACTATTGCACATTACATAAATAATTTTTTGTATGTATACAATAAATATTTGATCAATACACCACTGACACTTTAACCCTGATGTCAAATTCCAGTTTTTCATATATAAGTTGCATGCCACATGTCAGCCTCCCTCTTAAGCTACCAAGCACAATAATACATAATATACATGTTTTACTGGTTGTATGTGATCTATGTATATGTATTTTGTGTTTTTATTCTTATATATTAATACTTTAATTTACAGTAAAGTTAAGTTTACTGTTAAAAACCTTAAATTTATTGTAATGGATTTTTTTAACTGTGAAAATCAGTTAAGCCAGGCCACAAGTGTCTGCAGCAGGAACCGCATCTAGCTGCGCTAAGCTCAGGAACACACTGAACACAGCAAACTGAGCAGACCGCCAGGTCCCATTCAGTTTCTATGAAAACTGTTAAACCTCCCCCAGGAGTGAGATATGATGGGAGAATGTAATGAATGTAATTTGCAGCTTATTATTCATAATAACAGTGCAATCAGATGCAGCTCCTACACTGATCTGTAACACTGTAAAATCAAACAGCAGTAACCTGCTTTTGGACTGACAGCTTAATAGATCAGCCCACAGGAGGCGGAGTGGAGGAGGTGTCAGTGGTTCCTGACTATGGTCTGGGTTTTATTGTGGGGGTCAACACATTCCCTGAAGTGAGCACCCTAAATAAAAAACAAAATCAAAATGTGTAGAAATAGATTTTATGTTTCTTTACTGTCCTGAACTAGCTCAGTGATTGCTAAAGCACGCTGTGGTCAACCATACCCAGAGCAATGCCTCCATGTGGTGGCGCTCCTGAGTCCAGAGCCTCCAGCAGGTGAGAGAGAAGACTGGGATCCTCCTGCAGCAGATAGGTTTCAAAAATAGTTATGATAAGCTAATTGATTCAACCCAACTCCAAAGGTAGGCTGAACACTGGCAAAATATACAATGACTGACCTTGAGGATGTTCTTCAGGACATGAAGCTGTTCTGAGGCGTTGTGGATGCGGATGGAGCCTCCTCCAATCTCACAGCCATTCAACACCAGGTCATAGTGCTGACCACGTACCTGGGACGGACAGATGCATCCCACATGATGTATGATTATTTGTAAATATCTGAAAATGTAATGTCTGAAAAAAAAAAGTCAGAATCAATCAGGTTTTGAGTGAATCAATGTGACTACCTTGTGTGGCTCTGTGTACAGTAACTGTGTGTCCTCTGGCAGTGCAGCAGTAAATGGATGATGGGCTGACTCCAGCTGCTCCGGCTCCTCTTCTTTGAATAAGAAGAGAGGGAAGTCCACAACCCAAAGGAAGTGGAAGGCTGAAGGGTCGCGGACTGAAACGCCACAAGACTCCAGGAGCTCTGCACACTGCAGGCGAACATTACCCAGCAATGTGCGCTGAGAGCGGGAGGTACAGTAGGATGGAGAGACAGAAGACGAATTAACATACAATACATCCTTGCTTGCTGTAGTGTACAACTTTTCCCCTTCATCAGTCTGATCTAATCCAAGTTTGAGTCCGTTACCACAGTGTGGAGGGACCCGGCTGCTATCAGCAGCAGGTCTCCTGGTTCGGCTCCTGTCCTCTGCAGCAGCTCATCTGTGGCTGTGACAGACAGCAGCTTCTTCAGGACAGACTTCAATGTCCTGTCTTCATTGACCAGCACCACGCTGAGCTCCTTGGGACAAATCATACACATGAAGAAAGAGCACACAATGAGAAAATACAAGGAGTGGACACAATAACACTAGCACTATGACTCTAATTAATTTCACAAGTTGTTTATGGTCGAACCATTGTTTGGCCACACTTGTGTTTTGTTTGGTCTGGTTTATGGTACACAAAATATTTGCCAGGAACCTGTTTGCTTACACGCTATGATGTATAGTGTGTCCTGTAGCCTGCTTGAAAAGCACTGGCCCATTATAGTCTGAGCCCATGGAGTCTACTTGTTAACCTCTGATAAAGTGAACCACAGCACATGCCACCCAGCACCCTTTGCTGTGATTTATAAATTAAAACTCATTTGTGGTGCTCTGCAGTCTGCAGGTTTTGAATGTACGATAGTTTCCAAATGTTTGATCGTTTTGAGGTCTCTGGGCCATTGTTTGGGTTTTTTGGCGTCTGGCAGTGCTGTTGACACAATCATGATGATGAGGCAGATACTTGACTCGATGCTTATTTAGTCATGAATATTTAGTATTATGTAAAAATACTTTGAAGATTTGAAGCCAAGGTCTTTTTTCCTGCAGGGCTAGTACATGGGGTTGCATTACTATCTGTTTATATATTCATACACACAGACACATTCTACATGGGCTCAGAGTCGTGAACCATGTGAAACTGAAACAACGTCTGTGTGTCAACCATTCATTTTATTTTTTATTTTTTAATCCTCATTTGTTGTTGTTTCCTGATTGTACTTCCTGCATCAATTCTCCATTTTTTAATGATTAGTACAAAACAAAGACTGAACTGAACACACACAACAGGAAGTGGTGAATTCGAAAATGTTTCACAACACAATTACAAAAAAATTAAAGATGCAAAAGCAAGGAAAGAGAAACAGAGTAAAGACACACCTACCTGGCCAAACTGAGTCTTGGCTGTTTGTTTCACTTTTTCCAAATCTTTCCCAGAGAATAGTTTCTGTAGTCAAACCCAAGACAGAGAATATCATTTGAGACAGAGTTTTGGTTGATATCAAACAGCTTTTTCTTTCTATTCTTATTGATTTGTACCAACGTATGTTCAGTATACCCTGGTGGAACAGGAAATGGATTTGCTCTTACCGCTCCACTGGGGACACGGATGGCCTGGACAGAGCCTTCTGGTTGACTGAGAGCTGATCTAAGGAAGTTAATTTCCGTGGATAGGAAAACCTCACTGAGGTCCATCAACTGGACAGGCAGATAAGAAGAAAGAGAGGGATTCAGACAGTGACAGAGATGTGTGCGGGTCCCACAGATACATTCACACCCTCCTGAACATACAGAAGAAACCGCCCAGAGGAGCATCTTCAGCAGCAGTGGTTTTTGTAGCTGTAAGTCATTCTCATTGTGGCTCAACAGACCAGCATCACACCACAGTGTGCTGTGCAACAGATCACTCACAAGTGTTCTCCTTTTCTGAGACTGGCCTCAGTTAGTCACAGTCTGCAATTTCACCACTAGATGCCACTAAAAGCTACACACTGGTCCTTTAAATTTCCCCTGTGGAGTTTTAGACCTCTTGTAGCACTATGAAGCAGTTTTCTGTGAATGGGTTCCTGTTTTGTTTATATTCCTGCCAATGGTCTCACACTATTCCACTGATTAACAGGGTGCAGTAACATACCAAGAACTGCTGCCATGTGCCAGCAACGGCAGGCAAGAACAAGACCGCTAGCCAGTAAATATGAATGAAAACAATGCAGGATTTTTAAACTTTAAAACATCTGTCTATGTGTCTGTGGGGAAGAATATTTGTTCTGCATATTTTTTAGAGCTCAAAGATACACAATGTATTTTGATGAGTAATACTGAATGTAAACATAACTTATGTTTGTTTAAAAGGAAACTCCACAGGGTACCTTTAATTTAAAGGATCATAAACTAAGCAGTCAGCTCAGTGGAAAACACAGTCATCGTTCTCACAATCACCCACCTTCATACTGAATCTGGTGTCAGGCTTGTCCACACCATAGTCTCTCATGGCCTCTTCATACGTCATGGTTTGGAAAGGAACCTTAATGGGACCTTTCTCTGCAGGCCAGGAGTACTGTAACAAACCCTCCACCAGGGACATGATGCCTGCCTGGTCCACAAAAGACATTTCTATGTCTACCTGGGAGAGATAATGAGAGCATAACCATTCAGAGAATATGATCAGGACTGTAAACTGACTAGTTAAGTCCGAGTCAACAACAGGAAGTACAAAGGGGAATTGACCCTTTCTCTGTCAACTTGCTACTTTACTGTACTTATGCTATATGCTATGTGCTAGGCTAAACCACACTTTGAAGATGGTTAGGTGATAAAAGCAATAAAATCACATCTTAAGTTTACTAATATAGCAAAACGCCAGCTAGTTTAGCTACATCAATTGTTGTTAGCTAGTTACAGCTTCCTTACATAACTACCTTAAGATGTGACTATATGTATGTATGTATGTATATATATATATATATATATGTATAATAGCCTATACCCTCTACCCCTACCCATACATCCCACCCTACTATATAAGCCTATAATATGTATGAATACATATTATATCGCTTTTATCTTTTAGCCTTATTTAAAATCGGGTCTGTCTTTTTACACCAGACCGGAGGCTAGCACATTCAGCATATGTAAGTACAGCGAGAGGAGAAAGTTGAGGGTTCCTGACTGGGGGTTGCTCACACTTTGTCACTTGGACAACCACTTAGAAAGGTCAAGTCAATTGGACAAACAGGACAAATCAAATCAAAATCAGCACCTAGACCAAAGGAACAAAAAACTATGTGAATGAACTACATTTTCTGTACTATCCACCCCAGCAACCGCTGAATAAGGTGAATTTATACATTCCCATATTGGACCTCTACCGGCTTAGGATCCTGTTCTTCACCCACGGCGGCGCGCCTGGGTCACCCCACTCCCGGTATGGGAACAAGTATTTACCTAATTTCCTATCAGAAAAGCAGTATCAATTCTTGGAGCTATGACACTATCAGAATGAGTGATGAATAAGGTGGGTCTTTGAGTGTGGTGGTCAGATAAAGCCTGTGTGTTGTGCTGCCTGTCTTACCTGGGTGAACTCAGGCTGCCGGTCTGGTCTGGAGCCTTCATCTCGGTAGCACCGGGCCATCTGGAAGTACCTGTCACAGTGACAATAAAAGGACAAACCACCGTTGACCATTACATTACCATTACATTACCTAATATTAGCAAACTAAGTCAGTCAGCTTTATGAATAAGCTACACCACATAGGGGCAGCAGAAACAAGTCATGAACAACACTGTTATTTAAAGTTAATATGTTCAACTAATTATCAAATAGTTGCTAATTAACACATCCAGCAGTTATAGAGCAACATCATCATTCATTTGGCATCGTGTTTGTCCACCTGATGAATGTAGGTCCAATAGTCACTCTCTTTTAGCTCTGTTTTTGGTCCCCACCGACTCCTAAGGGAAATATGTGTCTCTTTAGCTGCTAAATGCTCCACTATGTTCACCAGCTAGTCTCTAACCCTAATATACACAGTATGTATAATATAAATGGCATGTATAATAAAGAGTGTTTTGCATGTGCAGATCATGATACACACACTGAACACAGTATTGGACATTCGTCTTACTATTACTGTGCAAATGTAAGTCAGACCAATGCTGAAAGAAAGCCTGTACCCACCTGTCTATACCAGCCACCATTAGAAGCTGTTTAAACTGCTGTGGACTCTGGGGTAGGGAGTAAAACCGACCCGGCTCTCTGGACGGAACCACAAACTCTTTGGCTCCCTGAAACACAAAGAACAGAACATATTCTGGCCATCATATAAGTCTGTCTGTATACAAGTAATTTGCTACATTACAGTTTGTCTTTAATGATATCACCTGTGTTTGTTAGCCTTTAGCGTGAACTATACACTACATTTTGTTTTGTTCTGGTAACTTCAGTTAAAATTCAACAATATGAGGGAAGCCAAGACTATGTCATGTCCCTACATTTTCTCTCAAATGTATAATTAAGCAACTGGGTGACAAATCCTTCCATTTACTGAATGTTTGTTTGGCAAAGAAGCACTATAGCGACTTTGATACTGTGCAGCAGAAACCATTCAAAGATAAAGGACCTTTCTTACCCCTGGTGTTCTTTTAAACAAGGTAGGAGTTTCCACATCAACAAAACCTACAAATGAGAATAAAAGAGACAGTAAGAAACTGTTTTAATCATGCTTCAGCAATGAGGGTCTGGATTCTACTATTGGTTTCTGTACAGTTTGTGTAGTGTTTGCATGGGTTTCCTCTGTGTCCTCTAAGTCCACTAAAGTCCAACAACAGGCAGGTCACATTGGGCGGACACTCAGGGGCAGTATATTCTGAAATGTGAATGCGTTGTGTGTGTGATGGCTCTGTGATGGATGGGCAACCTATCGCTTCACTGACTCTCACTCTCCTTACCGTGCACATTACAGAGGTATTCTCTCATCTTCATCACCAGCTGAGATCTCAGTCTGAGGTTCTTCTGCATCTGAGAGGACCTCAGGTCCAGGTAGCGATACTGCATCCGTAAAGACTCAGATTTCTGCACAAACAACACAGTCACTCAGGATTATTAGCAAGGACATCACTAGCTTGAGTGTTTTGTGAAATAGTGGATATAACATGAGGTACCTACTTTGACAAAGTCTTTAATTTCAAAAGGCAACGTCCGGCACACATTGAAGACCTCCACACTTTCAGCCACGATTTCTATTTCTCCTGTTGGCATCCCCTGTTGGTATGGACACAGCAAAATGATACATACTATACATTCCCATATGGTCTAGCG